TTGCCAGGGAGCCCACCAGACTCAGGCCCTATACATAAGCTGTTCCCTCTGCCCGGAATCTCATCCCTGCTGATCCATCCTGATTCATCGTTTAAGTCAGCCTAGACATTGCTGCCTTCTCAGGCCTCCTGGTCTAGGCTCGAGTCCCCGCTAATTCTTCATGGTACGAGCTACAACAATTGTAATTTAAATATTTGCTTTCACACTTATTTTGTTAATGCCTGCTCCCCATGTAGCTGTAGGCTCCATCCCAGGGTAAGGAATTGCTGCATCTGCCTTATGCCACTGAGTAACTATAGCATCTAGCCCAGTAGTGCTTGACCTTGGATGGATGGATGGATGGATGGACCAGTGAGCATCCAGGTGGGGGAGCAGGAAAGGCCTCCTGGAAGAACTAGCATGGAGAAGAAGATGGTTATGTTCCTGACCTTCTAGAGTCACAGGCCTGGAATCAGAGTAAGACGTACCTTGTCTTGCAGCTCTGATTACTCAAGCTTCCTTTTCCTTTCCTGAAAGTCACTGATTCAGCCCGACTCTATCTAAACTTCCCCTCTGCTGGGTTTTCTGCCTGGGGAGAATGGATGCTCACCCCGCTGTTCTGGCTCTTTCCTTGCCACCCTCTACCCCGGCCTGCTGCCTCTCCAGTCCACTTTCCCACCACACCCTTGGGTTTATGTAACTGAGTAATTGTGTAATGCTGTAAAGCTAATTGGCACCTCTGCTCAGGCCATGAAGTGACACGCTTTGCAGCCTTGAGAGGCAAAAGACAGCAAGCATCCCGTCGCATCCCCAGTTCCTCTTCAGACTCAATGTGCAGGTGGCCAGCCCTATCCGTAAGGGCCCAGTAACTGAGAGCCATACCGTCACCCAAGCCAAAGGCCAGCCACAACAAGAAATTGAAAGAAAAATCTTTCTACTGCCGCCAACGACAAGCTTCGTATCACATTCTCCCCCTCTCTGGATAGAGGTGACTTGTTCAGTTTCCCTTTCAACCCTTCTACAGGACCCTGTCAGCACCTGTCTTCTTGATCACCCAACTGAGGCACTCTAAGACCAAAAAACCAAAGGGGAGACTCCTCCCGCCTGATGTTTGGCGGCCCACTTCCCAGTTTGAGAGGTCCTGAGCGATATAAAACCAGAAGACCTAAAGAGAACACAGAGAAAAAAAGTGTTCTTGAATGAGTGTGTGTATGTTTAGGGGGTGAGCCAAGAGAGGAGAGGGTCGTGTGCAGGCCACACAGGGATTTGATATTTGATACAATGGGAGCAAAAAAACAGTATTAAGTAATAAAAGCCATGGTTTATTGGGCCTTTACTATATGCCAAACATATTGTAAAGTGTTCTGTATTCAATCTTTCATTTAATTGTCAAAACAACCCAGGGAGGTAAGCATTGATATGCCCATCTTACAGATGAAGAAACAGCCTCACTGAATCATGCAGCTTGGGAGTGGCCAAGCTCCAGGGCTGAGATCCCGATGTCCCTTGCTTTGAACCACTCCTCGCAACTGCTCTCCTAGGGCGATAGATCAGAAAGGAAAGGAAATTGGTTTATGGTGGGGCAGAGGGCTTGAGATTAGACATAAAGAATATTCTGACAATGAGGGCTGTTTGGTCGTAGTCAGGGTAATTAGGTTCGTTAGAGCTCTTCCTCTGGGGCCTTTACAGTTACAAAGAATGGATGCTTCTATGCCTGGCTGGTTTAAGGGACGCACTCTGTGTTCCAAGCACGGGGGCTGGCCTATTTGAATGAACTGACAGCCTGGCTGGGGTAGAAGACTACCACACAGGAAACCGTTAGATTACAAGAGGAGATAGTACGGGATGGGTGCCTGAAGGGGGCTGGAGGCAAGCAAAGGCTGCTGGCAGGCACATGCTCTTGCAGTTATAAGCAAGGGCTCTGTGGTCAGGCAGAACCTACTCTGGAGAGTTGCCATGAAAATTAACTAAGATGATACACGTAAAGAACTTCGACATAAGGATACAGTGAACGGGAGGTGTTATCATAATTGTTATTGTGGGAGTCCAGAGGCCAGAGAGAGAAGCACAGGGCAGAGCTGTAGGTCAGTAGCTGAGAAAGTCTTTCTGGGAAACTCCAGTTTTGTCCTGGATCTTGAAGAGTGGGTTGGGTAAAATCAAAAGGAAGGACTGGGGACAGAGACGGGGGGCTCACACGGTAGAGCGAGACTTCAGATTCTGTATCTTAAAAGAAAAATCTAATTTGGTCTGTGGTTACACTAAAGGAAGAAGCTGACTTGGGCAAAGGGGTGAGAGAGGAAATGAGGTCTTCTTTGTTTCCAAACTCAGAATTTGCATAGAGGTAAAGACAGCCCCCAGAGACTTAAAAAAGAAGCCAAACACACAGGGCTTTTCTGTTTACTTCCGGGCTCTCCCTGGGGTGAAGGGGAAGGGGCTTGGGAACGTGAATTGGGGCAGAATGGGCGATGGATGGGGGACAGGCCCAGAAACGGGGTAAGTTAGGAAATGTGGGTGAGGCCCTAACGACCTAATGACCATGTGACCTGACTTATGTGAGAAGACCCAGCTCTAAGGCTACATGGAGATGAGTAGCCTAACAGGCAGGAAGCCAGTTTTGAGACCCTGGGCATCTCTTCTTCAGTTCTGCCAGCTTGGGGTGGAAGGGCCCAGGAGAGCAGTCTTTGTGTTAATCCATTATTCTCTGACCGCCTGCCTTATCTCCCTGATGTGAAGATCAACTCCTTAGGGGCCAAGGTAGTTTTAGATCCTTTCTGCTCAACCCTCTGTCAAGTACCAACTGTCAGACCCTTTAGATCAAGCATCACCTGGGCTTTTGTTAAACATACAAATTCTCAGCTCTTTTCTCTAGGGAGTCTGTTTGGCTAGATATAGGGACCCAGGTGTTTGTTTTTTTAACAAGCACCCAGATGATTCTTTTGATAAGGCAAATTTGGAAGACACTGAGTTACAAAGTCTCTTGAATCCCTTTCAGTCCTATCAATGTAGGCAGCAGAGTTCAGTAGGAAGAGCCGTGGGTGGGCAGTAAGGAGACAGGTTTTAGGCCCAACCCTGCAGTTCACAGGATGGGGGCCTGCTATGGGTGCCCTTACAGTACCTGGCTGTCTGGGTACCTGTTGTCATCTTTGATACTAATAAGAACATTGTGCTGGGGTTAACCTGGAAGGGAAGGAGGCTGCAGAGCAGAGGAGAATATTCACCATCTATGATCAAGATCTCAGAAGGAACAGGGGACCGAGACTAAACAGCAGTGAAATGGACATCAGGGAACAATAGGTTCTGAGGCTCTCCCTGGGGCTCTCTCTTCCATGGAATTGGCAGGACGTCGTAGGCCTCAGCAACTCCCACTATACACAGGGGAACACTTAGGCCCAAAGAATTTTTAAAATGTTCCGAAAGCACACAGCTACTCAGAGGAAGCAGGAATCCAGATCCCCCTGCCCTCACCCAGGTGACCGTTGGGGTGCACAGCAAGGCAGTCATATATTCTTTTTTTAAAGATTTTATTTATTTATTTATTTGACAGAGAGAGACACAGCGAGAGAGGGAACACAAGCACAGGGAGTGGGAGAGGGAGAAGCAGGCTCCCCGCAGAGCAGGGAGCCCGATGCGGAACTCGATCCCAGGACCCTGGGATCCTGACCTGAGCCGAAGGCAGTCGCCTAACCAACTGAGCCACCCAGGCGCCTGGCAGTCATATATTCTTGGGACTTGTGGGACAACCCCTGTGGGTCAAGCGCCAGTGTCCTGAGTCCCTAGTCATTCTCCTGAACTTGCTGGGAGGGAGGATGGGGGTTTGGGGAGGTGGGCAGGACTGAGGACAGGCCATGAATAGGACGAGTGAGTGAGGGAGATGGGACTGAAAAGAAAAGCAGCCCTGGGGTTCACAAAATGTGGGCAAGTCGAGGGCCCCTTTCAGAGAGGTGGCCTGACTTACCAAACTATCTCACCCGAGGGACAGCAAAGCGGGAGGAGAACCTCAGCTCATCTCTCCAGACCCAGGGCAATCAAAAGACTAAAGGAGAGGTGAGGTCTGATTTTGCAGACACTTTTTAGAAATTCGCTGTCAGAGAAACTAAAACACGAAACAAACCCCCTAAAACAACAAGCCCGGTTATTTCGTCCACGTGGCACAAGAACAAGCCAAAAGGGGGGGGGGAGAGTCACCCGTCCCGCCCCTGCTGGGAGGAAGGGATTTGCCGGGCCAGCCAACTCCTGACACAGCCAGGTCGCACGGGGCGCGGCAGGGAGGAAGGGAGATTGAGAAAGCCCTTTTCCCACAAAGCCGCTGCGCCGCGGTCCCCGGTCCCCGGTCCCCGCCCCCGCCCCCGGGCCACGGCCGCAGTGCGGGGAGCCGCCGCGAGCCCTTTAAGGGCCGAGAGGTGCGCGGTCTCTTTAAGGCAGGTCCTGGTGGTTTCTGTTTTCCGAAGGAAGTGACGGCGGGTGGGATTGAATGAAAAGTGCAAAACAGAGTCTCGGAGCGCCGGAGTCGGGGGCCGCGGCGGTCGCGGCGCTGGGCCGGTGGGCGCGCGCGGGGGCCCCGGGAGCGCCGCGTCCGCCTCGGAGCCGCCGGGGGGCGCGCGGCGGAGCGCAGCCCACGTGCGTCCGCGCCCCGTCGCGGACCCCCGCGCCCGAGCCCCCCGGGGAGCCGCTGCCCCGCGCCGCCAACTAGCCGGGAACTTCGCGCGAAGTTTGGCAGCGCCCCTCGCCGCGCGCTCGCGGCCGGCCGGGGCCCCGGGGATGCGCCCGCCCGGCCGCCGCGGGCTCCCCACGGCGCCCCCCGCGCTGCTGCTGCTCGTGCTGCTGCTGGGGGCGCCGCGCGGCGCGGGCGCGGGGCCGGGCGCGCCGGCCGAGCTGCGGGTCCGCGTGCGGCTGCCCGACGGCCAGGTCACCGAGGAGAGCCTGCAGGCGGACAGCGACGCCGACAGCATCAGCCTCGAGCTGCGCAAGCCCGACGGCACCCTCGTCTCCTTCACCGCCGACTTCAAGAAGGTGAGGCACCCTCGCTCGCCCGGCGGGACCTGGGAGCCCGAGCGCACTGAGGCCTGCAGGTGGAAGGCGGGCCGCCGGGAGGGGCACGGGCTTAGCCAGGGTCACGTCGTCGGGCTCTTCTCTACACCCCTGTGCAGGCTCCCCAGCGCGCGGCCCTTTCATTCTGCCCCGGGGAGTTCTGCCGCCGCCCCCTCCAGCCTTTCACCCCTTTGCTGGGGGGGGGGGTGTTCTCAGGCCCCTTCTCACTCCCACTCCCCGACCAGCCCTTTGCCCACTTCTCTTCCAGATCTCCCAGGGCCCTCCAGGTGCTGACTCCCTTCTTGGGGTAATTTCCCTGTGCTCTAGAGGAGAAAGTCCTGGGCTAGCAATCAGAGATCCTGGGTTCTTGCCCTGTGATCTTGGGAAGTCCCGTTCCTTCTCTGGGCTTCCTTTTTCACCTCTGTACAGGTCAGTGCGGTGGCTCCAGGCCTCTCAGCCCTGACATTTTGGAGTCTATAAACCAACTCTCCTGTTGCACTTTCCTAGAGTGGAGACATGGGGGGTGGGGTGGGGCAGGGCGTGGGGTAAGAGCTGATTGTCCCCTGTCCCTCCGGAGCCAAGGAGAAGCTACCTCTCCTCTTTGGTCTGGAAGGCTGGAAAGCTTGCAGAAGGAGGACCTGGGGAGAGGCCCCACATGAGGTCCCCACTCTCTCAAGAGCTGCCACTCCTTACCCTGCCTGGCAGGACAGCTGGCCAACCTCCGTGGTTTGGCCCAGATTGCAGGAAGGGGGACAGAAACCAGCCTCTACTCAGGGTGTGTGTAAGGAACCAGAAGGAACCTTGTGGAAGGACTGGAAGGTGGACCTGGCCCCCAAGGTTGCTGGGGATGGGGGAGGCAGTGGAGGAACTGGGGCGTTATCAGCAAATGGGCCTGGAAGGCTAGTGAGGGATTAACAGTGACCCAGCAGCAGGAAATCTGGGAGGAAAAAGGGTGGGTGGTGGGTACTCAAAGGGAATCTCCTGATCTATACACACACACACACACACACACAGCAGAAATTCTGGAAGGAAAGAGGGTGGGTGAGGTGTAGGTACTCAAAGGGATCTACACACACACACACCCAGCCCCTTTTCTGCTAAAAAAGAGGCCCTGTCTCTGGGGGACTGGAGAGGCGGGGACAGTTAGATAACTGGACAGCTGGAGAAGCTCAGGGCTGTAGAGGCTGGCCCAAGCCACCTCTTCCTCCTCCCCCTTAGAGAATGCGAGCTTGAGAGGAGAGGGGGCAGACTTTGGGGAGTCAGCTAGGGACCCAGCAAAACTGCCATAGAGAGCACGGGCCAGGGTGGGGGCGTGGGGGGATCCAGTGGACAGTGGAGATAGGGCTTGACTGCTGATCTGTCCCCAAACTACTGAGTTATCACCGACATGGGACACAGGTGGGCCGTGGGAGTGTGGGGGGTGGTCACAGGTGGGAAGACTTTCTAGCCCGTCCTTACTGGGCAGGCACAAGCTAGGTTCTCCCATTCAGGCAGGGGCCTGGAAGGGCAGCTTTGAGTGTGGAGAGAGGGAAGCTGACAGGGCCAGAACACCTCCTGTCTCCCCACGCCCATACGCCAGGCGAACTTTGTCACGTGTGTTCTTCTCCTGGGAAATCCCAACAGTCGCTGGACCCCTCAAGAGGCAGTGGTCTAATCTTCCCCTTGAACCCTCCATCGAAGCCCTTTGTCCGTGAGAGTGAGCCTCTGGCCCAGCCGAGAGTCTCATAATTTCCTGCCCCCTGCCCATTGTTCTATGGCATCTGGAACCCTGGAGAGAGGCTTCCCCATTCCTGGGACCTCTCCTAGGCTGTGGCTAGGGCACAATGGGTAGGGCTGAGCTTTTATAACCCCTGGCTGCAGCATGAACGATTTTATTGCTCTACCCTGCAGGCAAGGAGAGGGGAGAGCCCCTGTGGCAGTGGGGTGGAGGACTGGGGCCTGGAGCTGAGAGTATTGTTGGGGGGTAGACGGCCCAGTTAGAGAATCCATTTGGAGCGGATTGCCAGAGCTCCATTTTAATCCCTGCAGTGGTTCAAACCTCCACCCAGGTTTCCAAAGTCTGCTTTTCATGTTAGCCTCTGCCCCAGAAGCTGGCATTTCACACCCTCCCTGGCATCTCCGATTTCACCAGCAAGGGCAGGAATCGGGGGTGGAAGGTGCAGAAAGGGAAGCAGCTCTTTGCAGTCTCCCCAGCTCCGGGTTGCTCACCTGGCCTGTGGCGGAGCAGAATAGCCTTCACCCCTGCCCCAGGCCACTGTCTACACTGGCCAGAGCAGCTTTTATATGCAGATCCTTCTGGGGTGCTCACCTCTCCTGTGGCTCACTTAGTTCCCAAGGCTTCCTCGTGCCCCACGGTCTTTGGCAGATTTGCACAAGGTTCTATCCAGAAGGAACGATTTTTCCTGTTTCCAAGAAATCTTGGGTATTGTGTTTCTTTTGTGTACCAAACACATTTGGGGTGCTTTGGCAAAAATCCCAAGTCTACTTAGGAATAGTGACCATTGCCCTTTTCCCACCTCTGGGAGACAGTCCAGGCTGAAGTGAACAGACCTGGTTTAACCTGGTCAAGGTACTTGATCTCCGCAGGCCTTCATTTCTTCATCTGTAAAATGAGGGCGATGATGGTACCAAGCCATGGCTTTCAAGAGAACTAATCAGGTAATACGTCTGAAATACCCACTAGGCGTTTGTTGCTGTGCTAAGTGCTTGCGAAATAGAAGGCCGCTAACTTTCCTAATCGTTGCCCACATAGTGGCTTCTCCCTGCTGAGCTTGGACTCAGAGAGGTTGAAGGATGGACCCAGAGCCACACACAAAGTCAGCACTGACTCAAGGTGCTCAGGGTGCCTTGAGCCCCTCATCATAACCTTTTCCTTGAGGCACCATGTATTGGAGCTCTCCAGAGAAACAGAAACAATAGGACATAGAGCAAGAGATATAGAGAGAAATTCATGGCAAGAGATTGGCTCACATGATTTTGGAGGCTCAGAAGTCCTGCGATCTGCCATTTGCCGGCTGGAGGCCCAGGGAAGCTGGCGGCTTGGTTCCAGTCTGAGTCTGAAGGCCTGAGAACCAGGTGCACCAGTGTCTGAGGGCAGAACGTGGACGTCCCAGCTCAGGCCGACAGCACGCTTGCCCTTCCTCTGCTTTCTGTTTTGTCCACACCCTCACCAGACGGGATTATGCCCCTCACACTGAGGAGGGCCATCTTTTTTACTCGTTCTGCCAATTGAAATGTTCGTCTCTTCTGGAAACACCCTCACAGGTACACCCAGCAGTAATGTTTTACCAGCCATCTGGACATCCATTCATGCAGTCAAGTTGACGCATAAAATTAACTGTCACACTCCTCAATTGCTGGCCAGCCCCTCCGAGCCCAGAACCGTCGTTCCTGTCCTGCCAAATACACAGGGCTGTGGGGAGTGCCCCTGGGCTGGACGCATCCCAGCCCCAGGTCTGGCCCATCCCAGCCGCACCCTCCAGCCCCCCTCTCTCTGTTCACCTCCTTCAAGAGGCAGGGTTCTAGCACCGTCTGGCTCTCCCCACATGGCCACGCTGGACCCGTAGGCGGTGAGGCATTAAGAGTATTTTTTTTTTTTTAAAGATTTTATTTATTTATTTGATAGAGAATGAGAGACAGAGAGCACGAGAGGGAAGAGGGCAGAGGGAGAAGCAGACCCCCTGCTGAGCAGGGAGCCCGATGTGGGACTCGATCCGGGACTCCAGGATCATGACCTGAGCCGAAGGCAGTCGCTTAACCAACTGAGCCACCCAGGCGCCCCGAGGCATTAAGAGTATTGAGAGTAATCGGCTCGCTGTAGGACACATAGCCCGGAGCCCAGGCAAGGATTATAAACTCCGCAAGTAGCTTGGAGCTATCAGTCGCCGTCATGTGTCACTGCGCGCCCTGTCCCAAGGCTGCTGACCATCAGGCAGACGGAGCTGAGTTTTCAAAAAGAAGTGCCATGGCTCAGGGGCTCCCAAACTTTGATGCCCATTAGAATCACCTGGATTGCTCTGGAAACTCCCAATGCCTGGGCTTCCCTCCACAGCAATGAAATCTGATCTCTGAGGGCAACAGTATTTTTAAAGAGGCCCCGGGGATTCCAGTGGGCAGTGAGTTTGGGGACCACTGGCGTGGCTGCTCCAGGGAGGGGACTTGGAGGAGGGCCCAGGTTAGGCTGTTAAATGAAGGTAGAGCCCACACTCACCTCTTTGCAACCTGTCATTCTACGCACAATAACCCTAATGTGTTTGAAGCCGTGGATCGGCGTTAGGCCTAATTCCACATGCCCTCAGTACACACACTGTAATTCATAATACACACCCAACAGGCAATAGTCTCCTTTATAATCCGGACCCTGTGTGTGTAATTATACCCGTATGTGCATACTCACTGGGCATATCTAACACCAGGCACATCACCAGCCCCCAGGCTCTAAGCTGGCTTTTTGTCCATCAACCCTCTTGGTCCCCCCCACCCCAAGCTCGTGTCCCTGTCCAAGTTCTCTTTCCCCTTTACCCCGAGTCTGAATATCCAAAAGCTGGAGGAGGGGATGAGTCATGTTCCAGGCGTTGTGGTTTGGTGCTGACCGGATGGCTAGGGTGGGGCTGAAAGATAGGGGAAAGTCATGTGCAACTGTTTCAGGGTGGTGGGTACAATGGGGGGTGGTGGGAGGAAGGAACCACAGACTCCAGAAGTGCGGCGGGAGGGATCCTGAGGGGCTGTGAGCTGGAGCCAAGATAAGGGGAGCCATATGGTGGTGTGGGTCAGCCCAAGGTCACTCTGAAGGACCCAGAAGGAGTGGAAACGTGAGCCCTCCATGCCCTGGCCTGAGCACCAGTGGGTGAGTGGGAGTCAGAGGAAGGAACAGTCGAGAAAGCGCCAGAGTCCCTGCCTTGGGGGCTCCTCGTTGGGGTGGGGGAGCAGCGTGGGAAGCCGTCTGGAAGATGTGGAATGTGCAAATGACCTCGCCGGGTGCCGGAGGCTGTTTATTATAACAGGATTGTCACATCACACAGAGGTCAGACAGGAGAAGCTTTTAGACACCAGTCTCCCCCTCCCCTGTCTCTGTGAGGTCCCTGAAATGTAGCAGTTTGGAACACAGGCGTGTGATGGATGGGTTGTCTTCTTGGGGAACAGAGGGCAACAGAGATGTTTTCAGGAGAGGCCCAGACATTTCTGGAGTCCAGAGCATTTCCTCATAGGAGTTTATGAGAAGTCACCAGATGGAAAGACCTGGATCATGTCCGTGGGGCCCTTGGATCTAACAGCAGTCCTTCTGCCATGTCTGAGGAATTCCTCCATGGATCAGGGATCACTGGGCCTGCCTGAAGATGCAGATGTGCTCCCTGGAGTTTGGCAAGCATCTCCCACCCTTCAATGCCAATGTCCAGGGGGAGTCCTAGCCAAAGATCCTGGATCAGGCAATGAAGACTGCCCCTTGGACCAAGAGAGGAGTGGCTACTAGAAGTAAGATGGGGAGAGGCAGACTGGGGTTCTTCCCTACCAGGCTGCCCACGCTACAGAGAAGCAGGGGCGGTAATGGTTGTAGAAAAACTCAGGACAGACTCCTGTTCCCAGGAAGACAGGGTGCAGCCTTGTGATGGGAAATGCACATCCCCGGATCTCATGCACTGAGAGGTCACTCAAGTCACATGCTGTTGGTTGCTTTGATGCACAGCCTCATCCAATTCTCCCCGCTGCATCGCGAGGCAGGTGTTGCCCCCGTTTTGCAGATATGCAAACTGAGGCTCAGAGCTACAAAGTAACTCTGACAAGATCAAGTAGCTAATGATCCAGGATTCGGATCCAGGTATCCTTCCACTGTATCATGATTGTGTGGGCCGTACCATAAGAAGGCTCCTTCCAGAAGACTGAAGAAACCGGAATAGAGGAGAGGAAAGGCAAGGAGTTTGACAGAAAACCTTAATGCAGAATCCTCTGTATAGACTTGGGCTGGACCCCTTCCCCCCGAGCCCATAACCCCCAGTGGATGTGAGTATTGACCCCTTGGGAGCTTTGTGCCGGAGACTCTTCCTCTGGAGAGGTGGGGGTGCGGGGGCGGTTTGTAAGAGATCTCACAGAGACCCCTGAGTACTCACTGTGTACGTTTGTCTGCCCTTTACCAGCCACGCGCCTGGACAGGCCGCTCACCCTCTCTGTGCCCCAGGCTCAGACGCGGCACAGGCAGGATGGAGACAATAGCATGATGCTCACAGGCTGGTGAGCGGTGAATTCTAAGAGGCTGTCGCCAAGCGGAGGCCAGCGGAGGCACGTGAGGAGTCAAGTAGCGGTGCCAGCCAGGGCCCAGGCAGCCCCCCCCCCCCCCGCCCCAGCTCTCCTTCCTCGCCGGGAAGCACATCCTTCTGGCACCTTTATTTCCGCTCTAGGGGCCAGAGCATCATTAGGAGCTTCCATCCCTTAGGTTGGCAAGTGTTTAAGCAGCATCCACTTGCGCATTCCAATAAAGGGCAGGAAGCAAGGGAGGCGTTGGGGCTGGGGATCTGGGTGAGAGAGAAGTCGGGAGCCCATCCTAGGAGCCCTGAGTCAGCGGGACAGTGGGGCGCAGTTGATCCACATAAAGCCTCACATTGTTCCCTGGGGCAGTTAGAACAGTAGTGACCTTTGCAATTTGGCTGACAGAGAACTGGGGGCTCAGGGGGCCGCTGCTCATGGCTGGTGGCTGCGCTAATACCCCCATAACAAGAAGCTTTTGTCCCAGGACTAGCCCTGAGGGTATACAGGCGCCCCTAATGGGGCCAGCCTAAGTCCCAGGGCACCAGTCTGGGAATGGGCTTGGCCTGGCTTTGGGTTGACTCCGTTCACCCCTGTTCCTGCTCAGGGGGACTGGGCAGAGTCGCCAAGGTGCTCCTGTGTCTGCCACCGGGCCGCCAGCATGGGGTTAGGAGAGTGCTGGTTCCTGGCTGCCTCTCTTCATGGCTACAGCCCCACGAAACTGGCCCCTTCTCTAGCCATGAAGCAGCTCCAGCCAGGAGCAGAGGGATAAATATTTAGATTGGCTTGGCCCGGGCCTCAGAATCATGTGCTTTTTGCTGGGAGAGGAAGGGGACAAAGATGGTAGGGCACATTCCCAGGGACAGTGCCGGCTGTCCAGGAGCAGGGAGCAGTGGGGGATGTGGTGCTCGGCGAGAACCCTAGAGAAGGCCCCCCGCCTGTGTGTCCCAGAGGGCAGTGAGGGACGGGGTGGCTCCCCACCCCAGCCCCCTTAGTTTTGGGCACCCCATGCTGGAGGGCTGGGCTGAGAGAGCGGGCGGGCTCTCGGGAGGAGGGGGCTGAGTGGGACAGCAGTGTGAGGACCTTGTTCGACGTGGCTGAGAGGGTGTATGAGGGAGTGGGTGAAGCTTGGAGAAAGGGGTGACATGGAGGCTCCACGGGGGACACCGAGGGAGGCAGCATGCTCCGTGAGCAACCGTGGGGGCCGGGGAGAGACGGGAGCAGCCGTGTGTGAAAGAGATTGTTCGGGAAGCAGCAAGCGCGCCAGGAAGATGATAGACATGTGGCCTGTGAATGGGGGAAAGCAGGTGAGCAGTTAGGATTGCGGTGGGCTGTAACATAAAACCCCAGCGGTGGCCCGCATCTTCTGCGAGGCTGGAAGTGGGCAGCGGAGGGCAGGGTGCCGGCTCCACGGTCATCCCCGCTGAACTCCAGGGGCTCTGTGCAGCGTGGCTCCCCCTCCGAGCAGTAAGCTTCCCCTGGGGCCTCTGGCCAGGCAGGCTGCACCTGGGCCTGGCACAAGATGTCTGTCGGTCCAGGGCAGAGGGCTGGGCCCCTGCTTGTCCCAAGACACCTGTCCGCTGTCCTCCTAGGTGTTCACCCCGAGCCCCAGCCTGCCTGGGCCAGCACAGACTTCTCTCTCTGAGATGCAGTGGATCTCAGAAGTGCAGCCTGGCAGGGGGTGAACACAGAGAAGGAAGATATCTGGACAGGGGCTGACGGGGGTGGGAGGGGGGGCCCGGAGGAGCATAAGGATCCGTGGACTGTGAGTCAGGAGGTCCGGGCTGCTGATCCTGGCTCTGCAGCCGCCTGACTTGTGAAGGTCACTTCCCCAGCCGGAACCTCACTGGGTCATGAACTAAATGATCCCCTGAACCTGCTGAAAGCCAAAATAGCAGTGGTAGAACTACCAGTCTTCTTGCTGGAGGCGAGGCAGCCGATAGAGGCCCCAGAGCGCACATGCAGGCGGGCATTCACTCAGCTACTGAGTGTTGAGTTCCGGCTCTGGGCCAGACCCTGAGGTTACTGCCTAAGTCGGGTCTAGTCTCTGCCCTTGAACCAGGAGCAGATCTCAGGCGGGGCCTGGATGACTTGTTGCCGGGGCAGAAGATGCCACATGAGGATGGGGTCCTCTATGAAGGCATTTAAATCAGGTGCACACTGGACCAGCACAACTCACGTTTCAGATCCAGCTCAAAACCCACCCACGGGACCCACGGGAGTCCAGTGACTTCGGGGGATCTGCTAGCTGAAGCTCAGACTCCGTGGCTGGACTCAGGCCCGCTGCTCTGCCCCTCGTACCAGCCTCTTCCTTTGATCACTCTGCCCTCCCTTGCCCCACCCCGTCCCAGGTGGTTTGCTCAGGATGCTTCCATGCTCTTGTTTGTGTGCTCCTTACCAGGCACTTGTTGAGCACCTGCTGTGTTCTAGGGGGTGGGGAGTCACTGCAAATAAGATACTTTCCCAGAGGATGCCTGGGTGGCTCAGTCTGTTAAGCATCTGCCTTCGGCTCAGGTCATGATCCCAGGGTCCTGGGATCGAGTCCCGTATCGGGCTTCTTCCTCAGCAGGGAGCCTGCTTCTCCCTCTGCCTGCCACTACCCCTGCTTGTGCTCTCTCTCTGACAAATAAATAAATAAATAAAATCTTAAAAAAAAAAATAAGATCCTTACTTTCCCAGCCTCACGGAGCTGAGTCTGGAAGGTAAGGCAAGAGGTGGTTACACAGTGGGATTCGTGCTGTAGAGGTTAGGAGCTGGGGCCGACTGAGTCTGCTGATGGGTTGGTGAGGGCAACATTGGGAGGACAGGCCAGAGGAGGGGATGCATGTGAACCGAGCCCTGAGAGATGGTAGGCATAGGGAGAGAGGGCATGTCCAGCAGAGGAATCAGCTCAGGGACAGGCACAAGGCTGGGAACTGCTCATTCTGGGAATTGCCAGCTCTTTAGTTCAGTGCTCAGGGAGTGCAAGAGGGGCTGCCAGTGGAAGTGGATGCCAGCCTTGGGAGGGTACACTTTAGGGCGAGGGCAAAAGGATTTTCTGAATGGCATTAGGCAGATCAGTGACAACATGGAGGGACAGATTGGGTGGGGATGTTATGAGAGCCTCACATTTCCCTGTCTTCTGTAAATTCAGTTCACTCTCTTTGCTAGAAAGTACCCCCTATCCTTTGACTATCAGGGACCCCTGAAATGTCCCTCACTCTGGAGAAGTCTTCCCTCCTTCCCCGCCTCCCAGTCCCATCCTTAAGGGGACAACAAATGCCCCTTCATCCATCCTTTGCCCCATAGCACTTGTCCCCCATAAACCTCCACCCCAGGCCTTACGTGGTGCACTGACTGTTGTAGGAGGGGCAGCATCTCCATGAAGCCCCTTGAAGACAGGGGCCTCTGTCTTGGGCTTGGCCATTTTCCCACCCAGCCTGGTGCCTGTGAAGGCTCTGCCCCGGGTAATGCTAATCAGTGCTCTCCCATGGATTTGCTGATTCCCTACAAGCCCCAGAGGAGTCCCCTGACCTCTCTGGGCCTCAGGTGCATCTTGAGGAGAACAGTCTTTGCTCCTGCTTCTACAGGTCTGCAGTAGATCACAGTTGGAGCAAGGCCAGCGATTGCAACAGTAATAGACAAAGGGCTCAGCCCACTCTGTTCTGAGACCTTTCACTGACTTTTTTCCTTACAATAATCCCCAGAGGTGTAGGTATTGTGAGTTTAACTCGTTTAACAGATGTGGAAACTAAGTACAGGGAAGTGAGTTCCCCCGAGGTTACATGGCTAATACCAGCAAAGCCAGCATTGAACATGGGTGGTGCGGACGCCAGAGCCTGAGCTTGTAATCACTGTGCTGTCCGGCAACCTACCTACTCCTGACTTAAAACCACAGAGGACTTCAGCCACTGCTCACGATCTCCATGGCGCATGCGCCACACCCTGACACTCAGGTGGCCACCCTGGTATCCGATGCTCCGCGTCTTCCTGGTGGCCCACTCCCGGTGGGCTGGAGGTTCCCGGGAGCTCATGCGAGCAGGAGCCTTATAGAAACTTCCATCTCGGGCGTCCTAGCCTGAGTCCTGGACCTGAGAAACCTGCCTCCAGCACCCTGACATCTCCAGCTGTGCCATCTGCCTTGGGCATTAGGCCACATCCAGGTGACTCATCCCAGGGCACTCTTGGGCGAGGAGGAAGCTTGGGAGCCAGGCTTCCTTTTGGCCTGGGCCTAGCATCGGGCCAGATGTTTGCCGAAGCAGGGAGACCTCTCCCCCTGCCCTTTGTGCTGGACGGAAAGGGGCCCCTGGCACCTTGGCAGTTAGTTGGAGGTGTAGAGGGTAGAAGGTAGGAGGGACCCTGGTCAGGATGATGGAGCCAAGTTCATCCAGAAGCTAGGGGTGCCCACTCCCTTTCAGGGGTCAGCAAGTGGAAGGTGGTTTTTCTAGAGAAACAGGACCAGGAAGACTGGAGAATGAGGGGTCCGCAGAGGTTCTGGGGAGGCAGGCAGGTGGAGTAGGAGGGTGGCCCGGCCCCATGTCACCCTCCTATCTGTGTCAGACGCTTGTTCTTGTTAGTCACCCAGAACTGTGAATGTCAGCTGCCACACTCGCAGGGCAGGTCTGCACAGGACTTCTAGGCATGGCTGGAAGAGGGAACTGAATTCTGTTCCTGGCCCTGCCACTTGCCAGCTGTGTGGCCAAAGGCGGCCCACCCTGCCTCTCGGTTGCTTGAGCTAGGCATCAAGGACATCTGGGAGGCAGTGGGGGCCTTGTGGTTGAGAGAGCGCAGGCTTTGGAGTCAGACTGCCCGGGGTTAAAATTCCAGCCACATTTCCTCCTAGTCCCATGACCTTGAGCAAGTAACCCATTCCCAACTAAGTAATAATCATCCTCCCTACCTCCTATTGTTGTAAAGATTTTAAACAGGACAATACATCCTTTTTGACTCATAATAACAATGACTTGTCCCTTCCAGTTATAAACTTCAATAAATCTTTGCCCTCCACAAGTCAATCTTCTCTCTCAATGAGAAATCCTCAGTCCCTCTCTTCGCCCCCATCAGATTCCCATTTTGGTATCATTTTGCTGTTGTCGCCAACATTGTTGTTTAATATAATAGAGTCAGGGAAAGACTCAGAACAGGTGTTTTTCGTTTTGTTTTGTTTTGTTTTGTTTTTAATCCTCCGGTCTGGTCCAAGAGTTCAAAAGCTTTCTCTTAACAGTGGGCAGGTGATATCTCTGAGCAAAGAGACCGCAGGGTATGGCACGTAGCTGTGGTTTTGGAGAAGACGCTGTGACTATTCTAGATAAGGTTCTTTTTTGAAGAGTCATTGCTGAAAATCCCCGGGAAGTAGACATTGGCTCCTGCCCCGGGGTCCTGCCAGGGACACCCGGCTGACTCAAGCCCTCAGAGGGGATGTCTGGTATCAGGTCTCACGTGGCAGGAAGTGAGCCCCGAGTGGAAAATACACTAGTGGACTAGCCTCCAGTGTCTCCTCAGCCGACCCGAGCGAATGGAAGATCGGGTGGCCCAGGCTGGCAGGGCGAGGAGATGCCAGCCTCATGGCCCAAGAACGGATTTCCTGTTGAGAGGAAGCTGGGGTTCACCCGAGCTCTGATTCACCTTCCCCATGAGTCTGGCATCAACAAAACCCTCATGGGGCCATTCTCACCAGCTGGGCCTTGGTTTCCATTTCTGCACTATTAGATGGGAAATCTTCCCATACATGCCCACACCTCCTTGTCCTAGAGATCATTTATAGTAGAAGGAAGCAAGAGAAAAGTCCTTGTAGAGGCAAGGGACTTCACCAGTGCAGGGGGCGGGGGGGCGGGGTGGCACTGACTGGCTCCGAGCACCTGCAGGGAGGAGATACACCACAGCGAGCACCTGCTGAGCATTGAGTCGGGGTCTGGATAAATGGCCCAGTGTCCCTGTCTTACAAGTGAGGCTTACAGAAGCTGGAAGATATGTCTGGGGCTTGGTTATACGTTGCAGAGTTGGGGTGCAGCTGCCCCTCACTGCCTTGCAGGCCCTCAGCCCCTGTTTCGGAGCACTTGTACTCTAGCACGTGCTCAGTAAGCCCTTCGTGAATGCGGGCTCTTAGTGGGCGAAGCCAGGGCATACACATTGGAAGATGAATAGCTACGCAGGGCTGTCTCTGCTCAGTGCCAGGGCAGGGCCGTTGGGTTTCTAGAGGGGCATGATCATTATGGCCAGGGTGCCTCCCTGGCCGGGGGGTCTTGGCAGATTTAGACCCCTTTTGACCGGGACCTGCTGATTTCTCACTGGGAGCAGTTAGCCAAGGCACAGAGTTGGGTGAGAGCAGGGGTTACCTTGAGTGCAGGTGGGTCAGAGCACAGGGTTCCAGCAGCCAGATTGGGAGGGGGAATCCCATCCTGCCCTGCGGCCCCCTCTCCCTTCTTCCTCTGCTCCCCTCCAGTCTTCCCCATTCATGCAATGAGTGAGTAACAGAAAGGAGCCATTGGCCTGCTGGTAATGCCATTAGTAAGCCGGTGAGGAAAGGGGAAGTGGGGAGGGGAGGAGAAAGGTGAGCCATCCCAGCTCCCTCAGGCCAGAAGTTGGCAACAGCTGTAGCCAGCCTGAGCTGCGTCTGCCCTGAGCCCTGTCCTGTGCCCTCTGGAGTCTGGCGGATCGGAAGTACTGAGGCATTTTTGAGGAGCACCAATTTCTGGGCCTCCCAAATAAGAATGTCTGTGAGAGAAACTCTGGAATCTATCCTTGTAAGAAGTTCAGCCCTTCCCCTATTAGGCCCTGGTCAGGTAGTTTATAGCGCCTGTGACCCACCCTGATCTGGGTGCCACAGGGGTGGTGCCACCAAGGGGCTGCATCAGCTGTGAATGAACCAGGCACCCCAAAAAAGTGCTGTTTCTTTTAAGGCGAAGTTCTATACTTATAAACAGCTCTGTTTTGAAAAGCTTTTTAGTGGTTCACTACGTGAATTTTCCAGGAGGTTTTGGAACATCTGGGGTGTGTGCTTTCTTTTAAGTCATGGGTTTAAATGGAAAAGATAAAAATTGTTAGACCAGCGGGAGGGAAATGTCCATTGCAGGGCAGGGTCCAGGCCTGCGTCCTGTCCGAGGCCTGAGCAGAGCCCTGGGTGGGCTGGGAGGGGGGCCCCACCCACTCCAGCTTGTCCCCATCCTCCTGCCCTTTCCCATCAGGATGTGAAGATCTTCCGAGCCTTGATCCTGGGGGAACTGGAGAAGGGGCAGAGTCAGTTCCAGGGGCTCTGCTTTGTCACCCGGCTGCACCACAATGAGATCATCCCCAGTGAGGCCATGGCCAAGCTTCGACAGGTGAGTGCTTGCCTCAGGCCTGCCCTGGCCCAGCTCTTGCCCCAGAGCCCCCAGCCCTGCAGCCAGTCTGGCTCCAAGCCTGGACCCTACCCCAACCTCAGTCTCCCACCCAACACCTGACCCACCCTGGCCCTCATCCCTGGCACCCTACCCTCACCCTGTACTCCCCATCCCCCTGATTTGCCCCAGGCCAAACCTAACCCCAACACCCCAGATCGATAATCTGCATGGACCCCCAACTGCCAGATCCCTCCAGTCCCCTAATCTCAGCTCCTCCCCCTTTATGGTGGAGGCTGGGGGCTTGGACTCTGAGGTCAGATCTGCCTTCAGCCCCAGCGACACCACTCTTCATCCAGGGGACGTTGCAGGAGCGACCTCGCCTGCAAAGCCTCTATTTTCTTATTGAGAAATGAGAATTTCTGGGAATTAAATGAGCTAATGCATGCAGTATTCAGAATGCTTCAGCCTGTTGGCCTGTGCCCCGTCCCTTCCTGGACCCTGAGCCTCTCCCCAGCCTCACCTAAGTTCCCTAAACTCTCCAGCTCGGCCTGCTCTAGGCCCTTCCCAGAGACCCCGCCCCCTGCATGTTGGAAAGTCTAGGACCCCAGAGGTCCTCTGCCCTGGGACAGCTTGCCTGGCTGCCCCCAGCACCACCCCCAGCCACTGTCAGAATTCCCCATCAGCCCCCAGACATCAGCCAGCGACTAGCTAGAAAGGTTTGGCTGTGCCCTGAGCATTGGTTTCTCCACCAGTTAGAGGCGATGCTTAGTGGCCCTTGACTGCCAGCCTGCTCCAGGCGACCTGCCTCAGCTGGACTGACACTCAGGCATCAGGCGAGGGATGGGCAGAGAACATTCTGGGGCCAGGTGGGAGCGGCTCTTCCTCTCCACACAGAAGAACCCTCGGGCGGTGAGGCAGGCGGAGGAGGTGCGGGGCCCAGAGCACTTGCACATGGACATCGCCGTCAACTTCAGCCAGGGGGGCCTGCTGAGTCCCCATCTCCGCAATGTATGTGCTGAGGCCGCTGACAGCATCTACACCCGCCAGGAGGACGTCCGGTTCTGGCTGGAGCAAGGTCAGCGGGGTGCCGCGCACGGCAGCATCGCAGGGCCCGTGATAGAGTCATGACATACGGGAGATCAGAGGAGGGACCCCTCAACCGGGCTGGGATTGGTCAGGGCAGGCTTCCTGGAGGAATGGGTGCCTGTGTGCCTCTTCAGTGAGAGGAGCGACCCTTTCTGGGTGGACACACAGAACTGTGACTTGCTAGGCCCCCTGGAGGGAGATACCCGGGCAGCACCTACCTCGTTCCTTCCCTTAGTGAGAACACAGGTGGGACCTCATGGAGGGAGGCCCAGGTAGCAGGGTCCGGGCGGGGCCCAAAGACACCCGTTCCTACCCACCCATGTCTGCCGCCCCCCTCGGAAGTCAGCGCCTCTCCGTTCTTCCGTGCCTCCCCTGGTGCCAGCATGTCTCCCCCACGATCCCTGAGCGCCCCCCATCTCTGTGTGCTCCCTGCCTTTCGGCCCGTGTGGCTTTACTGCTGGCATTCCCAGGACTGTCCTCAGGTCCTCCGTGGAGAGGGCACAGGGAGATGGCGCGGTTACCAGTCCAGGTCCCTGGTCCTTCTGCCCAGCCGGCTGAGCACTAGGCAAGTGCCTGCCCCTCCCAGGGCACCCCTGGATTTCGAAATGGCCAACAGAGCTGTGGTCCTGCCCTCCGCACACAGCGCTCCCCGGTGAGCTGCACCCCAACTGCAGTGCAAGTCTGATACCATCCCCACCCCACCCCCGAGGCCGGTCCCTCCCGTGGCCAGAGACCAGGTCACTGCCATCTCCCTCCAGCACCCCCGCCTGTGCCCTGGCCACGCTGACATCCCGGCACGTTCGTGCTGGCCCTCCTCGCAACCACCTCCTTGAGCAGCGGCCCCTGACTTCCCACTCATCCCGTCGCATTCTAGTTCAGCGAGGTGTCTAAGCGCGGGCGGCAGCGTGCGCCACATGGAGGCCTTGAAGTCAGACAGCCCAGGTTCCCTTCTCTCTCCGTCCTTACTCCGTGACCTCAGGGAGATCGCTCCACCCCTCCGGGCCCAGACTTAGCTGCTGGGGTTGACGGGAGGCCCCGAGAGGCCATGCGGGGTGCAGGGGGGGGCTCCCGCTCTCTCCCCGCCGCTGACCCTGCCCCTCTCCGCCAGGTGTGGACAGCTCCGTGTTTGAGGCGCTGCCCGAGGCCTCGGAGCCGCCGCGCTGCGGGCAGGTGGCGGACGGCGGGAAGCCGTGCGTCTGTCGCTACGGCCTGAGCCTGGCCTGGTACCCCTGCCTGCTCAAATACTGCCACAGCCGCGACCGGCCAGCCCCCTACAAGTGCGGCATCCGCAGCTGCCAGAAGAGCTACACTTTCGACTTCTATGTGCCCCAGAAGCAGCTGTGTCTCTGGGACGAGGAGCCCTAGCCGGGGCGGGGGCGCCGGGGGTGGTCCCCGACGTAGCTGCTCCAGGTCCACCGCGCTTCCCCCAGCCTCCAGAGGGGGTGGCAGCACCCCCTCCCCCACTGAGGCCTTATTGCCCTTCTCCCTTCTTCCCCGGAGCCTCTGGCCCCATCATGCTAGACTGTGAACAGGGGTGTGGCACGGCAGGGGTTAACTCGTGAAGGCAGCCCCCGCTCGCAGCCCCGTGCCTCCCCTGGGGACAGAGGGAAGGGGGCTCTCCAGATTTGCCCTCCTTCCCTCAGTCTCCCCTGAAGTGTTCTCTTTCAAGCAACCAAAATGTGATGGCCCGCGATTCTACTTAACTCTTTGAAGGCTTAGACCCTAGAAGGTGTCTATGCCTGGGATGCCGACCTCCCCCCGCCCCCACACCACCCCACCCACCGACTCACCCGTCTGGAAGGAGCCGGCCCCTCGGCACCATCGAATGCCCAACACCGAGGGGATCCCTGCCCCAGAGAGGGGGCTGTCGGGGACGTTGCCATAGCCCCTACACCAGATCACAGCGCATTCTTGTCATCGCTGGCTCCAGCGCTGGGGCAGGGGAGGACCTCCCAGCCCTGAGACGAAACCACGCGTGCCTTTCCCCAGACCCAGACTCTGTCCCCCAGACCCAGACTCTGTCGAGACAGTGGGCACCAGCGTGCCCCCCCAGACGGAAATATTTTTGTAAGGCTCTGGGGCAGGGAGGGAGCATGAAGTATGAGGAAAACTTGAATTCCAGATTTTTAATGCAAAGTATTTATCATTTGTACCAGAAATAAAAGTTTAAATTTTTATTTGACTGACAGCACCCAATGCAGGGTTCTGTGAGAACTCTTGGCCAATGCTGCCACCTGGTGTCAGAAGGGTTCCATTACTCTACCGGTGACCCGGCTTGGGACACCTTCTAAAGCACCTGCTGTGTGCTCAGCCATTGGGCAGCTGGGAGGGGAGAGGATGGGGGAGGGGGGGTGTGCATATTAAGGAAGGATAAGACAAAACTGCACTTAAGAAGAAGAGGCATACATAGATGAGCAAGTCAGACAGTAATCAGCATAAGCTAGATTAAGGTAAGAAATAAGGCATAAACTCCAGAACCAGACTTCCAGGGTTCAAATCCTGGCCTTGCTTCTTATTTCCTGTGCAGTCTTGGGTCAAGTTACTTTACCTCTCTGTGCCTCAGCTCTCTCAGCTATAAAATGAGCTTAACTGTGAGACTGACGTGGGTTCATACACGTGGAGTGCCCAGCACATAGTGCTCACTGTATTCGCTGTTATTAATATCGTTAGTGAAAAGAGCAGACATTTCCTCCCCTGTAAACCTGAGACAGCTAAACCAGACCTCTTGAAGGCCTCTTCACATCATAAGTACCTCCCAGTATAAAGAGAGGAGATTGCTTGGAGAAGGCACCTCCCACCTCCCACCTTATATGTGCCTTATTTGCTGGGGGTGGGCTCCCCAGGTCATATACTTTTCTTACTCACTTTCAAATGGCCAAAAATAAGGCTGTTTTTTGAAGAGTGCTTTTCTAATCTTCCTTGGGAATAACTAGCACCTCCCAGCCTGCCTGTCCCTGCCATGAGGGGGCTTCTGGACCCTGTCACCACAGACTACCCTGCCTGGTCTTAGGGCATGGGGATGAGAATTAAGATTCCCTGAAACTTCAGGCTGATGTCACACTCAGGCAAAGCCCACACTCCCGCTCATTCCAAGCGACCCTCCCCCCTCCCTGCCCACCCCCTCGCTCTCAGGTCCCTCCAATGCCACCACCACAGTCACTTGTCTGGCAAGGGTCTCAGGGTTCTGTGTACCTCAGAATCACTCAGGAGCGCAGCTCATTAAATACATGTCCAGGGTCAGCTATTTGAGAAACACCCGGATAAGGCTTTACTTTCCTAAGGAGGCCTTTTTGCACTGTGAAAGCCCTCGGGGGAGGTAACGTATCTACAAGGAACGCTCATTTCTCTGGTGCTTCCGAGTTGACGAAGCGCCTTCCTATCAAGTAGCTCATCGGCTCGTTTGTAGCAGCAGTTCTGTGACACTTTATGGATGTGGCTCACCAGTAAAATTATGTGACTTGCCCAAGGTCAGACAGCTAGTTAGAGCACCCTTGGGATCCAACCCTCAGCCTTCTTACTCCACACATACCTACTAACCCTAATGGGTTTATCAGTCTGGCCCCCTAGAACCCTAGAGAGCACGGCTCACCCCACCCGCGGGGTGGGGAGAGGGGGCGCAGTATGAGGTGTGCAGCCCCCACTGGGGGGGCAGTCCTGCAGTAGCAAGCACTGAATATATGGGGGTACGCACACCGGTCCCCTGCCACTGGAGTCGGCAGGAGCAGGCTCCTGCTTGGTCCCTTTGGCCAAGGTAAGCAGGGCTCCGGGTGGGAGGCCAGGACCCTGGGTCTCATGGGAGCCTCTTCAAGCCAGAGAACCACAAGTGGTACCAGGCGCTCCCTGGCAGGATCACCCCAGCCTGGGCTGGGCCTTGCTGTATGTTCCATGGGTTTCCTTCAGGCTCCTCTCTCTGCAACCTTAGTCAATGAAAGTCTTGTCCTGGAACCTAGATGTGGTGATTTGAGCCACCAAGGAGCCTGGAAAAAATAGGGCAAGGACCTCTCCCAAGAAGCAAAGCTTGAGGGTAACGATGCCCGTGAGGAATGGGGATACCGGCTTCGTCTGAGCTGTGTGCAGTCTGGGGTACGTCACGCCCGTCACCAGCCCCCAGTTCCTCATCTGCGAGGAGGCGGCCGCCTCGAAGGGCTTCCAGACCCGGCGATCAGTGTGTCCTTGCGGGCTGGCATTCTACCTCGTATTGTTAGGCATGTGGCACTGGTGGACAATCGAATTGTCCGTGACTGGCTCTTCCAAGCCATGCTGTAGAGAAATGCTAAACACGGAGCGCTACAAAGCCCAGTACTTGGTAGAGACTGACGAACTGCCCTCCACATGGGGCGGTCCCAATTTACACCCTCACCAGCAAGTGCATGAGAGGTCCGTTTCCCCACATTCCTGCTGCATCAGTCGGGGTTCTCTAGAGAAAGAGAACCAATAGGATACACAGAGAGAGAGATTTATAGTAAGGAATTAATTCACGTGATTGTGGGGTCTAGAAACTCCAAAATGCTGGCAGCTTAGGCAAAAGTGGATGTTGCCGTCCTGAGTCTGAAATCTGCAGGGCAGGTCAATTGTCTGGAAATTCAGACAGGATTTCTGTTACAATCTTGAAGCAGAATTCCTTCTTGGGGAAACCTCACTTTTTGCTATCAATGTCTTCAACTGATTGGATGAGGCCCACCCACATTATCAAGGGCAATCAATCTCTCTAAAGCCAACTGATTGTAGATGTTAATCACATCCACAAAAATACCTTCACAGCAGCATCTGGACTCGTGTTAGACCAAACAACTGGGCACCATGGCCTAGTCAAACTGACATGGGAAATGAACCACCTGTTATCACTTGATCTTAGTGTACGGTGTTGGCCATTTTGACCTTGAGAAACATTAAATAAAGCATTCTGGGGTTTCCTCTCAGATCTCAACTATTGACTGAAGCCAGGTAACAGGTAGGTAGCCCTGCTGGTTGTTCCGGTTTGCCCCCCCC